TTTTGACCAAATTTTTTATTTTTTTTTATTTACCATTTTGTATTTGAAACAGCCTTTCATGAATTTCATAATGTACATTTTTTTTTGGAGTGTTGAGATTTCAAGTTCTCTAAATGTTGGGGTCTCTGTGTGAGAGACCTTTTATTGTAGGGGAATACAATATTTTAAACCCGCTAACAAATAACTGATCGAGAATGCTAAAATTTTGAATTTTTAAGCTATAAAAATTAAAATGCATTATGTATATATGCCTAAATCATAACTTCTAATTTTGAAGTTTGAACCAGAAGAATTGTAAGCGTCCAAAAAATAATTGTCGATTACATATATATCTCTTTCCTATCTCCATCACAAAGTACAAACTTTCCTCATTTTAACAGATAATGTTAAAAAAAAAATTCGGGGGCACTGCCCCTGAACCTCCGTGGGCCCCCACTCCTTCAACTCTAGGACCCCCCCTAATTCGAGTGGCTCTGTCCCTGCATACATTACTTGTTAACACCAAGTTTGAGTCATATCATTCTCCCAATAATACATTTTAAATAATGTTTTTGATGGAAAATATGTGTTTAAAAAATAAGGAAAATTTTTAGATTTGCGTGTAATATTATTTTATTAAAAAATATGCGGTTGAAAATAAGAGAGAAAAATGTATTTTAAAAGAATGGGTAACAAACATGGTGTAATTTGACCCCTTTCGTGTCTCCCACAACGTTCCTCATGTAGTCATGGTGCTTCTTGAGTGCGGGCAGTTTTCATATTGCTATTATATTTTTTAGTATAATTAATTTTAGAGCATGTTTGATTCCCGTTAATTTCAAAATACATTTTTCTTTTTTTTATTTTCAACCATATATTTTTCAATAAAATAATATTATATGTAAATTCAAAAAATTTCCTCATTTTATAACTACACATTTTCCATCAAATCATTATTCCAAAATGCATTTTAGCAAAAAAAAAAGAAAAAAGAGGCTCAAACATGTCATTAAACATTCCTAACTCTAACATTGAAACTTAAATGTTTTACGAGAAAAGTTAGTAGAATATAATGTTGTTGTTTCAATTGTAAAAAAGTTTATATATATAAGACAA